TTCAACCACTCGGCCATCTCTCCTACATAATTATTATGACCCAAAAACCGAAAACCGAGTCAATAGTGAATCATTCATATTAGATTATTGGGTAGGTACAACCAATTAATTCTAACTATAAAAGYGATAAAAATTGAAAATTTTTCATCATAGTAAAAGCAGGATCTTTCCTTCTAGGCTGGAGGGATAATTTTTTTTTATTTGCCTAATTTCACGAAAATAAGAATTTCATCTTTTATCTGATTGTTTTAGATATTTTTTTAATTTGTTATAATTAATTGAGAGCCATTTGGGCACTTGACACATTTACTTGTATAAATGTTGAGAAATGCATGTCTTTTGGGTAATTTGACGTTTTAAGACGTAAGTCTCATGGGTCAGAGTCTTTAATTTATGTTCAAATCATTTTAAATGTCATGTTGGGATTGGCTCAACTTTTGGGTGTTCATTTGTATATGTGAAATATCATATGTTTATAATTGCATAATTTCATAAAGTATACAGGTTGTCAGGTGTTTGATCTGCCATGCTATAATTTACCAAGTTTGTGGTTTTGATACTTTAACCTCTATGCATGAGGGTTAACTGTCTTGTGTTATGAAGTAAGAAATTTGATGTTCCTATCTTGAATGCTAGTGAATAGATAGTAAAGGTCGAACGGGAACTTTGAGATGGAACTCAGCTAGAGAACAAATGGGCACTAAGATTCGGTATTCTTGAGATGACATTTGGTGAAGAAGTGTAAATTAAAGATACAGTGGTCTTAATGTGAAACGCGATAGAGTAGACACGTAGAGGTCTTGAGGATTTGAGGTGACACTTGATATAGTAGGCACTAAAGTCAATGAATCTGATGTTTAGTTCGATAACTGGGTCCTACTTTTGAGTTCCACCACATTTAATGGAAGCAGGTTTTTCCCGTCATCGAAAGATGTATTTGCATTTTTGGAGTAGTTGAGTAAAAGATGATTTTCAAAAGGTGTCGTGTATTTTGCATCCAGTTTCTACTTGGGGAAAATAGTTATTTAAACAGTGTTCATTCAGTGTTACTGTTTTTTCATTTAAAGTATAAAACTGCTTGAATTGATGCATTGTATAAGAACGTAAATTACAGATCACCATGTTGATTCTGTGAATACCCGTGGATAACCTCCTCTAGGATTCATTGATTTGACGAATACGGAATCTTAGGCTTCAAAAATCGAATTCACATAACTCAAAATTTGGGAAGGGAAAATCAAAGTTTATCAAAATACCAGTGTGACCATCCACTTTTCAAGAGAAACATATAAATAGAAAGCCTAAAACGAAACGGGCCTAAAAATGATTATGGGCCAAACACAAAAGGGCCAACGAAAATGCCAAAAATAGACAAAAACAAGAAAATGACTAAAACCCATGCTTAAACAGCGTTTTCGGGGTTCAAAAGTTCGTTAGGCCCTTACGGACCTAATCACGCCGTTCTCCTTGATCCAAGCTTCGAATGACTGGTCGTAGGCCTGAAACGAACACCCAGAGTGAGAGTTATCGCCTTTTAAGCGTGAACCTATTTGGCAGTCCGATCATGGGCCTCCAAGAACATTAGGGCTCGTCCTCCACGCCCAAGCCCACATCATGAACTCACTAGGCTTTAAGTCTAGTACATTTCCTTGTCTGCATGTACATCAGGTCCTTGTGGACTTGGTACTAGCGACACTTGTTGCTAAGAGTTGGGTGCTAGTTAGAGGCTCAAGAATGATTCAGATTTTTGGGATGTCTTCCGTACTTTGGAGATTGTGACTGTTATTGGGTTTTAATAACACACGTCCCTATCCTAAACCTAGTGAAAAGTTTGGTTTATAATTTATTGATATTAAACCAGAAATTGTCATTTTAGGTAATTCGAGTGTTGCCCTTTAGAAAAAAATTTATCATTCAATATAATGTATTCTAATTTTTTTAAATTATTCGCTCTCTTCAAGATTTTGGGGTATTACAAAATATGTTGAGATTAATGGACAAAGGGTGGTGCCTGATTGGTTTGAGCTTGACTCCAAAGGTCAAAAGTACAGGAGGTCTCATGTTCAAATCCAAGGAGAAATAAAAATCCCCTTTGTGGCCACAGATGTTCAAATGCGGTGACTCCGGGCTATCTGCAAAATAAATGGTCGCCCTGGGATTAGTCGGCTCGCATAGCGGATTGGATATCCAGGTTAATAAAAAAAAAAGGACAAATGTATAACCTAAAAAATAATTTCGAACCTGTCCACCTTGTATATATATTTTTTTCACAAAAATATAGTTAAGTAAGTATGATAAAAACCACCAAGTGTTTTACACATTTAAGTATTTTTTTTTTATTCATATGATTTGTTAGAGGTGCTTAAAATACCGACCAACCCTGCCAATCCAATCCAAACCCCCCCCCCCCCAACAAAACTCAACTCGAGGTATTCCGATACATAGTTGATATAAAATTATGTTAAACCACATTTATTGGGTTGGAATTGGGCTAGAGTCATTTGAACCCAACCCGATGAACCCGATACATTTATATACTATGAATTTAATATGATTTTTAAGTCGTTGATTAACGTATGTACATTAGACATTAGACCAGTTGTAATTAGATATATTCAAAATTATATTATAATTTTAACCATAATTTTACTTTCTTATTTATATGAACCTTTAACTTTCTTTTTTGAGTTTATTATTCTTTTGTTATGTTATCATTTTGATTTTACTTTGTTTAAACACAAACACTTAGATAAAAACTATAAAATGATATACCAAAATTTCGACACGATCTCCCCAACCAACCCAAACTAACCCGCATGGTTTGGGTCAGTTTGGTTTGCAGTTTTGCTTTGGTTGAATCGAGTTGAAATTTTTCAAGCTGCAAACATTGAGTTGAGTTGTTCAAATACTTTAATCCGACCAATTCAACCCTATGTTATGTAATGTTCTTTATGACAAAGACTAATTTTTCTAACTAAATATTTTTTTGTTACTGGTGAATATTTGGTTATTAAAAAACTTTGAGAAAAACTGTTTATATTTCATATTACTACTCTCTTCTTTTAACTATTGTAAGATTATGTATACTAGTGTACTAATTGCTGTTTGTTTGGTTTTTCATCAAATCCTGTATAGATAAAGTTGTCTATGTGAATTAATCTATCTATATAAATTGAAAAGTTTTTTGTTTCCTTCGAAAATGGTATGATCTTTGACGCAAAAAAAAGGGTTCTCTTCCCTGCCCCCATCGAGAAATAGAACTGACTAATCCTGACTGAAACACTTAATGGAGCTCCCGTATCAAAGAAAGCCGCATAAGTAAATATATAACCTACAAAAAAGTGGGCTAATCCAACCAACCCGTAATCGGACCTGCTTTTTACATATCTCTCGTTATTTGGCATAGATGACGTTGAATCTAAAGGATCTACTGCTGGATAGTTGGCCCGGGTTCTTCTCCTACTTGTATTGAATAGAACACGCTTAGCCAAATCTTCTTCATGTAAACCCTAGTATGGATCGTACATGGACGGTAGTTGGAGTCGGCGGCTCTCTTAGGGTTCCCTTATCGGGAATCCTCTTTCGAGAGATTAGACCAATAACTATACCGTCCGGATCACCAGCTAAGGCCCCTAAATAAGCTTAGTGATAAAGGAGGCAGAGAGTTTTCTTAGATAGAAGAAACATGTTTTTTAATTGAAATGAACATGATTGGAAAAACATGACCTTTTTTATAAATTTTCTTTCTAAAACTTACTGAATAAATCACTTTCTATATTTATTGGTTGGTTAAAATAAATACAAATACAAATTAGAAAATTCTAAAACTTATTATATAAATAAATTTTGACTGGAATTTGCTTCATCTAAAAGTGTTGTTAAAACATCCCACCAATTGATTTTGTATCCTCTTAATAGTTCCAGTAAGAAGCAACCTTTAAATTGTTAAGAGACGAATCTTGTTAGACAAAAAAAAATCTATCTATTAACGATTTTAAAACCCTCTGAATGATTTTGTATCATTGATATCTCTTAAACATTCATAGCCTTAGTTTTATTGTTAATAATTACCAAACAATTATATTTGTTTTGCGTTCTGTTACGATAGTTTTATCTGTCAGTGGTTCTGTAACAAACCATTCCGCCAAATAGTGATCCATGTCTACTTTACCTTCCACTTGAGTCTATTCTCTGGTTCGAAACTGGCACACATCTGCCTTCACCATCTTCGTTCTCTACAAATCTCATCATCAATGGCTGCCACTAGAGTCATGGTGTCAGTTTCCTCCTCATCTTCTCTACTCTTCAAAGCCGCGGCCACTCCATTGTTGAAGACGAATAGGTTAAGACCTTGCTTCAATACCCACAACAGATTAGTTTCTAGTAACAGGTTTTTCACATGTAGAGCTCTCTACAAACCCGATTTCCAGATCAAGGAGGAAGGACAGCCTGAAACCCTAGATTACAGAGTCTTCTTCGTGGACAATTCTGGTAAAAAGGTTTGGGCATTCCTCCGATTATGGTGTGCTTGCTCATTAATTTGATTGGAATTTGATTATTTTATCGGATTGAATGAGAACTTTAGGCCTTTTGGTTATTTGCTTGCTAAATTTTTTTAAGGAGCATATTCTTCAGTTTTTCATTTCTTTTGGTTATTTCTAAACCCAACCCTACCCACATAAATTTATGCATAATGGTATCACAAATTTTCTTGATCACCCCATTTTGGATTTGAATGTGTTAGCTGGTTAAGTCTGTTGGGTTTTGATTATTGTTACATGAGCATTGTAAAAATGATCAATATTTCTGCAAATTAAAACCTGGAACTTCTTAAATTTGTAACTGAAAAATATATTTGCAGTTCTTCATCATCAGTGTGTTCCCAGTTAAATACTGTAGTTTAATGTGATGATCCAACTTCCTCCAAACAGCTAAGTGGTTTTATCAATTTAGAAGTTAAAGACAATCATTTGACACTTAAAAGTGAAAACAGGATTCTTTTTTATGGGAAGGATCAACTATCAAGGAGAAGATATTTGAATAATTTGGGTATCTTTAAAGAATAGTTCATCAGAAGATCGGTATGGTTTCTATGATTGGAGTTTTTTGATTGAAAAGTGGACATGCTAATTTGTGTTTGTGGCTTTTCATTCGAAATCTGAGTTGACTTAGGGTTGCTTAACCCTTTGATTCAGGAAACATAGATATAGTCTGGATTTTTTTTATTAACCTGGATATCCAACTCGCTATGCGAGCCGACTAATCCCAAGGCGACCACCTGCTTTGCAGATAGCACGGAGTCACAGTATTTGAGCCTCCGTGGCCACAAGGGGATTTTTATTTCTCCTTGGAATTGAACCTGGAACCTTCTGGTACTTTTGACCTTTGGAGCCAAGCTCAAACCAATCAGACACCACCCTTGTTATGGACCTCAAAATTGAGTCAAGAAAAGAGTGCTTACTTTTTCTTTGCAAAGGGTATGCCTTATTGTTTGTATACCAACATATATGCAAGTATAATGGTACAACTATGTGTCATAGTGGATATTTGGTTTTTCCAAATGGCAATTCACATTTCATTTAGGATCATTCCTGTGATATGTGTTTATGATCATGGGATAATGTTTTTGATGATGTTGGATAGTACCAATTTTTTTATCAAGGAGGACGGTTTTGTAGTATTGAGTTGCATGTTTATACGGTGCAGGTTTCACCTTGGCATGATGTACCATTGCATGTTGGTGATGGAACATTCAATTTTATTGTTGAAATACCCAAAGAATCAAGTGCAAAGATGGAGGTTGCTACCGATGAGATATACACCCCTATTAAGCAAGATACAAAGAAAGGAAATCTTAGATACTACCCGTAAGACATTTTCTTTTTTCCTTTATTGTGCACCATTTTGATGGCTTTTTCTTATGTGATCAAATCAAATACTTCATGTTTGTAGCAAATGACTTTGTTTTTTACTGTGTATATGTTTTATTCCCTCTATTAGTAAGTAAAGGCAACAATTTCATTTTTGCCGAAAGTTTCAATGCGAGATTACCTTTTTGCTTATTGGTAGTCTTACAAAATTCTGATAACACAAAAATTCATCCAAAAGATTCCCTTTGGGTACAATAGATACATGACTAATAGTCAAACCCTTTAATTGTACTATATTTCCTAGTCAAATATTGTATTTGTTTCACGACAGATAAAGTACCATTTTCGTTGGAAGACCAATGTATCATATCCCGATTGCAAAGGTTGATGGTATTGTTTGCATTGTTAAAGTTAAAACATCGCAAAAGTAATATGTTAATGCTATTGTTCAAGTGTTTTCATTTAGTCTTGTGTACACTTGCTAGTATATGAAGTTACGTTCGTTTTGGTTTAATTGTTTTCTATATGCATCTTTCAGCTTTGGAGTTGATGGTAGTAATCAAATAGAAATCAAATTTTTAGTCTTGTTTTTGTATTGTTTTTCTGCAAGATGGAATTTCTTTTACACGTCGACCATTTCTTTGTTTTCTAGGTACAACATTAATTGGAACTATGGGTTGCTTCCGCAAACATGGGAAGATCCATCACTTGCAAATCCTGATGTCGATGGGGCATTTGGAGATAACGACCCAGGTTACCTGGAATCTCTTTGCAATAAGTTCTCTTTCAATACGAAATTGGGAAATTTAACTTTACTCTCTTGTCCCAAAATGAATGAGTCTTTGCTTTTATTTTTTCTTGGTAATTGTGGTGTCCGGGAAAGCTTGGGCACCTTGACCAATCACATGGGCCCCAAAGGCAACAAACGAGAAATTCCCAAGTGGCCTTGAGGAGACTCGAATTGGCGACCTATGGGGATTGCCTTTTAATTATGTTTTAACTAAATCAACTCTTAAGGAGATATTACATCTTCTTTTTGGCATTTTTAGAACATGCAGTAGAACTTTTACTACAATTATATGCTTTTTCTTGACAAATTTCTAGTAGCATTCGTATCTAGTTAACAAGTATTATTCAAAACTCATTATTCACTAAAAACTCGCATATCCAAACTCAATCTTTCGTATGAAGGTCTTCAAATGCCTATCATTCTAGATGTTTAGTGTCAAAGTCATTGAATAATGTATTAGAAGTGAGTTTCTGATGATTTACATGTCAAAAAGATGAACAATTGCCTTAATTAAGTATCATCTGTATTCAACCTTTATTTAATTGATTTCTTATGTATTTTTTAGTTGATGTGGTTGAAATTGGTGAAAGCCATGGGAAAGTGGGCCAACTTATGAAGGTCAAACCCTTAGGTTGTCTAGCTATGATCGACGAAGGGGAGCTCGACTGGAAAATTGTTGCAATTTCATTGGATGATCCAAGGGCTTCGCTTGTGAACGACGTTGATGATGTGGAAAAACATTTTCCGGTATGTCATTCTCCCTCTAATTAGGGGTGTTCGCGGTCCGGTTTGGGCGGTTTAACCCCTCAGACCACTAACCAAACCGTAATGGCGGTTTATAAATTTTTCAAACCGAGCGGTTTGACTTCAAATGCCCAGATCGGTCAAACCAGACTATGAAAAGACGGTCTGGTCTGACCGGTTTAGGCGGTTTGGCCTTTAATGAACTTTAAATATTAAACTTAAAAAACATATATATTTTATAATTTTAGATTAAATATCCATTTTGATTATGTTAGATGTTAGGTTTTATGTTGGGCTTAGAGATATATTTGAGTCATAGCCAATAAGTTAAAAAAAGTTGGGCTTGCAAATACTAATATATATATATATATATATATATATATATATTTGGCGGTCGGTTTGGTCCAAACCGCCCAAAAAAGGTTACAAACCGCAGACCGGACCGCCCTGTTTTACTATTTTCCAAACCAAGCTAAACCGCCAAACTGATCAAACCGCCAAAAACGGTCCAGTTTGACTTGGTTCGGCCGGTTTAAGCGGTTTAACAGTTTTTTTTGAACACCCGTACCTCTAATGGTCAAGCACTTTTATAAAACAATGTGCTCAAATGAAGATGCAATTCTCATGGAGTAATACTACATAGATAGGATGCCTTTTAGAACATGTTAGATATAAAAGTATCACGCGTCCTATTCATTCGTTTCATGTAACAAGATTCTCTTGGGAGGAGTTTGTTTTGACGGAATGTTTTTTGAGGGATTTAAATTTCGTAGAACGATTTGGATATGGCATTTTTGGTGTGTTTGTTCTTTAGGATTTGGAATGAAATTGAATTCCATTGTTTATAGATAATTTATAAAAATAAATTATAAAAATATTTAAATTATCTTTTATTAATTGATTATTACAAAACAAAATGAATTTAACATATTTTAAACTGTTATTACAAACAAATCATATGAGATCCCGTCAAATACCAACTATCTCAGTGAGATTTCTAAATCCAATGTTTCCAGCAGCATTTGACCAAGGCTGACAAAGATATTTAAATATTCAATTCATCTCATTTAGCAGATTATGGTATTTTGTTTTTCAGACATTTATACATTCAGACATTTATTAGTTTACAAAAACAACTTATTATGCTTTCAAACTTCAGCACCCCTTTATATAAATAAGATGTAAAATAAGACTTCAAAGTTCAATACCTCTTAAAAAACAAGCAACACCTATGTGATAACATGCAATGTTGCACTGGGATGTGTTGGTCACTCATTGGTAGGTTTTTGTGTTTCGGCTTCAGCTTTCTGTTTGAATGGATACATTATCGGTTTCAAGATTGGGACTTTGTAATGTTCAAGATTCTTTGATGCTCAGATTTGATGTGGGATTGACAGATCTCATCTTTCATTAGGTCGAGGGGTGTTTTTTTTTCCTTTCTTTCCAATTTGGATTGGATTCACTGTCAATGGGGTCATTTAGTTCAATTCTTTGAAGCCTCAGAGGCAATTGTATTTCGATTATGGATCTCTTTGCAATTTTCTGCCAAAAAATTGGGACTAATTAGTGAATTTGGTGTAGGGGACTCTCATGGCAATCAGAGACTGGTTTAGGGACTACAAGATCCCCGATGGAAAACCAGCCAACAAGTTTGGCCTTGGCAACAAAGCAGCCAATAAGGTAATCACAGCTGCTCCCTGTCTCGTGAAAATTGCAAGGTTTGTTTGAAAATGTAGGCAAGTATTTTGATTTTTATGGAAGTACCTTTCAGTACAAGAAAAAGGCGTATAGTCATAATCCAACAGATGGTAGCTTCGGACTATTGACTTTTCAACGGAGCGCAATGAGAATCTTATGGTGTCAATTTTTTCTTATAATGGCAATTGGCATACCGCATACAGGGTATTGGAACTTGAAACCCCTTTTTTTGTCCAGGGTTGGGATTTCCACAAAAGGGTCTCGGTTTCAAATCTGGCGTCACCCACCCTATCTTAGGACACCGCGGTTTACTTTACCCTGATGGCTGTGGGATCAGTATGGTTGGGCACATTGGAGGGTAGGGCAAACCCTTTATACTCAAGTTTGAGAACTTTTTCAAAAAACAGAAATTTCTGTAACATTGATAGGATATATTAGTAATTTTGGTAGGACAATTTTTTTTTTGTAAGGGTGTCCGGGCTAAAGCCCGACTAATCCCCGGCAAATTTGGAGGCAAAGCATGGTCCCACTTAAATGTTGCCAACACTCCCCTCCCAGGGCTCGAACTTGGGTTCATGACTATGCCATGCCCAAGCCTTACCACTAGGTAAGAAGTCTTTGACTTTGGTAGGACAATTTGTTAGTGAGGGCTGAGTCTACTTCAACAGGATTATGCTCTGAAGGTGATCGCAGAGACCAATGAATCATGGAGTAAGCTTATAAAGAGATCAATCCCGGCTGGGGAGCTTTCCCTTGTGTAAATGCAATCTCTCCAAATCATTCCAACCATCAAGGTTTCATTCTTTTCTTCAGCTTTTTTATTTTATTTTATTGCTGATTGCTTCAAGACCCATTTCCTAAATTATTAACTTTTTTTAATGAGAATTCATGATTCATATGGATTTGATGGTTCACATATGCATTGATTCATTAATACTGAAAGTTGGATATAACTTAAAAAAACCAAAGTGGGATGATTACAGAAAACCAAACATTCAGATGCAAAAGTGATTCTTGTGGGGCAAAAGTTATTTGCATTTTCTTTTGATCAAAAGTACAATAAAGGAATGGAAGTTGCATGATATTTACATATATATTCTGTAAATAACGTCTGGGTTACTCACTGTGATAGGTTGGTTGAGTTTACCAGCTTCCACTCTCAACAAACTTCTGTAAACTTCTTGTCTGATCCAGACTCCATGGATGTCTTTGGTTGATGAAGAAGTGGCATGAGTTTGAAAACCCAGTTTATTGCAGTGCTCTTCAGCTGAAAAAATGGTGGTGGTGAAGAAGATGAGGATTTGGTGGTATGATGATGGTGGCCTTCTCCTACTAGTGTAAGCATTGCTGCAGTCGGTGCCATTTGTTTCTTTGATTCAGCTCATCACTTGTATAGATAATGCATTATATATATATATATATACATACACACACCCTGCTGTGTCTTACGTGGGAGGGATAAGGTCATAAACAGGAGTACTATACCATGGGCGCCGTATGCATTGTGGTTTTCTTACTCAAGTTCATGCTCATCACACACACACACACACACACACGCGCATACACGCACACATTATTATTTGTAATATTTAGAGTGAATTACATGCTTGGTCCTGTAGTTTACACTTTTTCTGGATTTGGTCCCTAAATCAAAATAATTACAGATTAGGGACCTGTGGTTTGTATTTGTGCATTCTTTGAGTCCCCATCTGTAACGGAATAAAAAAGATTTTGTTAAAACTCAATTAACTAAAAGGGTATTTTTGTCTTTTTATATCTTTTTTTCTTTTTCTTATTAAAGAAGTTATATTTTACATCATTATTATATATATGTAGACGAAAGATCGTGTGAGAATAAAAGTTAAAATAAGAAATATAAGAATAGATCTAGATCCTTGATCGCTTTAATCTTACCCCGCCCTGTGAATTGCGTTTGATACGGGAATTGATCTGGTGCATTTCATTAATGTTGGTTTTCAATTAGGATTGACCCAAAGATAGAGATCTTATCTTGCTCTTCTCATCGTAATTTTCATTTTCACTGAAACTTAACCCTATATATATATATATATATAGAGAGAGAGAGAGAGAGAGAGAGAGAGAGTTGGGTTCTGGGGAGAATGAGAGTTAAGTGAGAAGCATAAGTATGGATCTCTATCCTTGGATGCACATTAGGATGAAATGTACTGGAGATGAGATGCATCAGATCAATCTCTGTATCAAGTGCGATTCATAGGTGGATTTGAGATTAAAAATAATCAAGGGTCCAGATTTCTTCTCACACTTCTCACCTTAACTCTTCTTCTTACGCTATCCTTTGTCTATATATATATACTAGTTGTGTACCCGCGCAATGCGGCGGGAGCCATGGATTTTAACGATTTTGAAGTTCCACTGGTTTTATAAGATAAGATTTAACGATGATATATGTTACACTTGATCTTTACGTATTAATACAATTTGAATAAATAAGAGTTATGGTTCCAATTACAGACTATCGATGAAAAAAATTGTATGACAGTTAAAATCGAATATATTTAAAATCCAACATATGTAAACGACTTCACAAATGTGTTCGATTTACATCAAGAGCAAAGAACCAAGAAACTTGAGTTTTAAAATAAACACTCAAAATCAATAAAGAAAACTACAAATTTGACAGATCATAAGCTATGAAAAGACCAAAAAAGATGAGTTTTAGAATGAAATTTCAACTGCTTACCCTCTTTTTTATCCAGAAACTCAGATTAAGGTTGAATTAATACATGTAAATATATATTTCAAAAAAACCCAAGAACATATTAATTCAGAACATATTATACAGTGCAATTTGGACRRCCTAACCCCAAAATATATAGTATATATATAAATAAATAACTATAAAAGTATAAATC